TCTGTCTTCCTTCTTGAAAATGTAGACATATCCTTTAACTTTTGCATGTGTGCTGCATATTCATCATCAAGAATAATTCCGAGCATCTTCAATAATTCCAATGCTTCCTCCTTTGCATCAGCTCTATAATATTTTCCATTATATGCAAACCTCATAAAAATCGGGAACTCCCGAATATATTTTATGGAATTCTTTTGTAATATTTGGCAGACTTGGGACATATCTCTTCTCCATTGCAAAGTCTCATTACATAGATTAGGAAAGACTTGAATCAGATGACCTTCCAGCATAATTGATGTCATGTTCCATAATTTCCGCATCAGTTGCTCTTTTTTTGCATATGACCAAAATCTGACCACAATGTCTCTCGATATTTTTCTTCCCAGTCTTCTTGGGCCAACTCTATGTATTGCATCAATATCATATCTTGAAAAGGAAACATCTGGAAGAATAGATTTAGCCCAGACCAATATTAGTTGGATCAATTTATCTTCATTCTTTTTCACATCCTTTGGATATCCTTTAAGGCGTAAATTTGATCTTCGTTGTCTATCTTGGATCTCAATCATGCTTTTAGAGACCTGGCCTATCATGGTCATCTGTTTTTTAAATTCTTTATCTTGTTCTCTCACCTTGAACTTTCACTTCTGTAATTATTTGGAGATTCTCTTGATTTTGTTTAGCTAATTCTTTTCTTCTATCAATATTATCAATTTTAATATCCAACTTCTTCAGGTCACTCTTCACCTCTTCTTTCACACCATCAAATCCTGAATCCATTTTTGTCTTTATTTCTCTTATTTCTTGTAGAAGTATAACAGAATTGTCCAATAGTATTGAAGTCGTTGATTTTTCTGGTGATGTTTTCTTTTTTCCATTCATCTCTACTCTTTTTAACTGCAAATCTCATGGATGAGGTTTATAAGAAGAGTCTTGCCTTACTCTGGGTCTTTGTCAAACTGTCTTAGGCTCCTGCCTAACATTGTCTGCATTTTGCTATGTTTAGACATACAGTCTATACTTATTATTTCCACAATAGCTGCAATTTGACATTTAGCCAACACATATTACTGTTTGCAAATACAGTCAATAGTTCCCTTTGTTTCACTTCGCTTTTGTTCGTTTATCGTTCAGTATTTCCCATAATTAAAATAAGATAGTACAAAAAAGTTAAACCTGGGATATTAATTAACTTTGATATACATTCCTCACAGCTCTATCCAAATACTGTATTTTCCTGTCTATAAGATGCCCCCATATATAGGACACCCCCCACTTTTCTTACTGATCTCCGAGCGAGCAAGCTGGTGCCTTGCCATGCGCGTGCACCCACCACCTCACCACATCCCCGTGTGTGTGCCTGCCATCACACCAGTCTCCCCCCACCCTGAGAGCACCCATGATCACGTGATCTCCCCCCCATTTGAGTGCGCCTGTGCCCACTGCCACCTTTCAACTGGCCCCCTGTTGAAAAAGTTTGAGGACCCCTGGGCTACACGCTCTCTGCAGCATCAGCTGACATCAGTTACATAAGCCTCATGATTGGAGGAAACCTGTTAGCTTGTCTCTGCGATCGGAAGTTTCACTCCTGAGGCTAGTTTGCAGAGATACGGTATCGACAGTTTCGCAATTGCAGTTCTCCTCTCAGCCCCTGTGTATAAGATGCCCCTCCATTTTTAGGTACATATTTTCAAGAAAAAGTATCATCATATACATGGAAAAATATGGTACTTTCTCTTTCAGTGCTTTTGGCACTTTCTTGGCCTTCCAGCTGCATAGGTGCATAGGGAGCAGAGTTGCTTCTTATCAAGAAAAACAATCTCCGCCTTTTCTCCCCACCTCCCTCCAAGCTGCTTTTTGGCTTATTATAACAGGCAGCTGAGGTATTTATAACAAACTCTGTTTCTCAATCCATAAACAGCTGAAATACTGCTTACTCTGGACTAGGCCCAGCAGTTCCAACTCACAAAAACAACTCTTGCTCCACGTTTGTGTTTCAGATCTTCCCAGGAGATAAACAAAGGGATTGACTTATATTTCATGCATTTGTTCAGTGTTTCTTAACCTTGATTTGAGTGCATTTTAATCATGTATTTGTCAATGATCAGGAAGAGTAGATTTTTTTTAGCATCCAAGGTCCATCCCGGCTAGCTCCGCCCCCCCAGCTCAGGTTACATTAAGATTCTTTCATACCAGTGGAGGGCAATATATTCCCACTGTCCTTAAATAGTTTCAGGCCAAAATTACTACCTCAACTTCTCTATGGGACACTCTTAGGCCCAATATCCTCTAGTTTTGCCCCATTAGAGAAATTTTTATAAGGGCAATTTTTCGTATGCCTTAGCTGTGTCTCTTATTTGGTATGCGTTTAGAACCTGGTCTGATCAAAATAGTGACCAGGGTAAGTCTCACCTCTATTAGCTTTTGGCTCAGATTAAACTTATCTTTAATTTTATTTTAATTAAAAGATTAAACAGATTAAACGAGGCTTATGCAAATGGGGCAGCATATAAGTTCTCCAAATAAATAAATAAATAAATAAATAAATAAAACTACTTTCCCCAAGGACTAGCTTCTTTAATTCTTTGGGACTATTTCCGATCATCCTGGCTAACTGCAGTCCATCAAAAACTTACATCTCTAGGGCTCTCACTACTTTAGTAATGGGACCGGATCAGGCATAGCAATTACCAAAAAGAGAGTATTAGATACTCAGCAGCAATCAGTAAAGTACCAGTTTTTTTGATACTGGAAAACACCAAATTCATCATTGCCACAGCACCTTATGTATTGTTCTTGGAGTCTCCCACTCTTCAAAGGGCTTTCTCTCTAGCAAAGTGACAAGAACTCCCCTCTGCAGTCTTGGAGAGGAGATATTGTAAGTTGCCAATGGTGGAGAGGGTTTGCCCTTGTGGTGCTGGAGAGGTTGAAACAATTGAACATGCTATTTTTTACTGTTGGTTTTATCAAGAAATACAGGTCAAGTTTATTTCTCATCTGCTTAGAAGGTAGCCCAGCAGATCAGATGCTGAGGTTGCTAGGAAACTCCTTATAGGCACCAACATCCAGTTAACAGCTTGTTGTGTAAGGTTTTTTGCAGCTGCTTGCAGGATTTGCAAAGATATTGTATGCAATGTTTAACTTTTTTAATTTTAAAAATGTAATGGATAATTTTAAATAATTTTATATTATTTGTTTGTTGATATTTTAATAGTTGGAATATTTTACTCTATGGTGTTATTTGTAAATTGTTTATCTTGAACGAGCTGGTCACTGACCATAAAAAATTGTTGCTGTTGTACTCTTAACATTTCATTTTTTCTCACCTCCTCCAAAAATGTTTAGGCTCCTTTTAAATCTGGAGGCTGTCCTTTGAATAAAATGCCTTTGGCTGTTGTGAAAGACATTCTTACTTTTAAAAGAGAAAAATGCAAACATAAAAGTAATTTTCCTAGCAGTTTGGGTTCAAATACAAGGTTGCATAGGATGTACTTTTTTAAGTGGTGGTGCACAACTTGAATTTCTCAAAATTGAAAAAGCTTCTCAGAAGAGAGCCTTCTAGGAAAAACAGAGTAGTTGTTGCTTCAATTCTTTTTCCACTCAAATTTTGCCTCACCACTAAAATATAGTTGAAATTTCAGAGGTAGCAACATGGCTAAGTAATGGCCTAGCTCTAGTAGATTCCCGCACAGCAGCCAGGCGGGCCAATATGGCTACAAAGAAAAGAGTCAACTTTTCTTCACTCTCTCTTTCAGCATCCAGTACATCATTAGCAAGGATACCTGGATTGAGAAATGGCCAAACGATGAAGAATGCCAAGATGAAGAATTCCAGAACTTATGCAATGATTTCATCCACTTCTCTACTACGTTATCCATTTTGGGTTGCCAGGCCTAACTGGAAAAGAAATACTTGAGCATGTGACTTACATCCAATGGAGTTTTGAGTCATTTTCAAAATTCTTTCTTTTTTGAAATTCCTGCTTCATATTATTATTACTGTCCCATTTCCCCTCCAAATTGTTTCTATAAAACAAACAAGTGATATCTTAATGTGGTTTTTTGTCATTAATGAGAAATCTCATATCTCACCACTGTTTCAATACTGTTTGTCTGATTGCTTGATATAGCACCATTGGAGTGCACTGTACTCTGCATACAGAGTTCAAGAGAATGGGTCATTCCCCCTTAGAACTCCCAGCCTAAAATTTTATATGGAAGACAATGCAGGCTGGGGAATGCAGGGAAAAAATATGTGATTGTTTGGGTTCCATATGCTTAGATTGGGTGCCCAGTTTATCTTTCACTAGATCATTGATTTAGGATGAGTGAGAAATTGCTTAGGTTCATATTTTAATGTGAACTGACCAAATTTGCATTTCTCAAAATTACATGTGAACTGGAATGGAATTGCACAAAATATGCACAGTTTTTAATGAGTTTTGTGATACTTTTCAAAATCGAAGTATGCCCATGAAAATGAGTATAATAGAGGAAAGGTTGTAGGGAAATTGTGCATATATTAGGAGCAATGTGCATGAAAATACATATATTAATTTGCATAGAAATGGGTGACCTTAAATGTATAATACAGACAGTGTAGCACAGGGCTATCCTGATCATACAACCCCTCTCTCACTCAATTGTATACCCTAGTTTCTCCTGACTGAGCTCTTAAGACTACTTTCTGGCTTTCTTCTTAAAACTACAAGGGCACAGGGATGCTTTTCCTCACATTCTTCTTATTACTAGCTTTGAAAACCTAACTGTTGCAAAAAGGTTGCACATTTTCTCTTATGATAGTACCTCAAAGTTACCCTAGGTCTTGAGTTCCTTGATCTTCCTACCTGGAACTCCTCTTGCTTTGAGGAGTTGCTTTGATACTAATGCAAGTATAAGAATTTGATTGGAGCATCATGCTGGTCCACAACTTAAAACCTTGAGGCAACTATTTCATTTATTTTTAGGGTTTTGTCTCAGTTACTCAGATTGCTTTCCCTACTCCTGTGACAGTTTAAGCTCAAAAGGGATTTTGCTACTAACCAGCAAGAGTGGAAGGTTAACATTGTGTCCTTGGGTACTAACTGATTGTGAAAAGCCAGAAACCAAACTCTGAATATGGTCACTTGGGGATGAGGAATCTGTGCCTTACCCAGACTACTACCCAAGTCCAGGGACAATATACCATGAGTATTCCAGTCTCCTGTCCTGAATTAGCTTTCAAAGGCTACCCAGAACAACTTAAAATAGACTTTATCAAAGGGGAGAGCAAGCACAACACAATGGGGAAGGCCTACTAAAGAAGATCTTCAAAGTCTCAAAAATACAAACTATCCCAAGGGACACTAAAGCTCTAAAGCATGTGTGCAGAACATACCTTTGGTAGGGGGGTGGAGTACTCTCCACTAGGCTGTCTGGGGACTAGATGATGTGGGTAAGCAAGGCCACACCCACCTACTCCATCACCTCCCTGCACACACAGTCAGTGCCTCTCCCCAGGACCCAGTTGGATCCTCAGGTTCACGTACTGCTTGCCTTCCCAATGGGGATGGCAAGCAATGTGTGAATGGACTCTGCCGGAAATTCCTCTGTGTGTCTCTTACCGTCCCCATTGCTATGCAAAGGCAGACTCAGCAGGCATGTGAAGCAGGCCAGTGAAATCCCCTCTCCATATCCTCTGTGTTATCTCTGACCTGAGATTGGAGATAGCCAGGATTCCTCTTGTGGAGGACCCTCCAGCCCCACCCCATGGAGGAACCCAAGGAGGTTCTGTGGGCAGTATCATGGAGCAGGAGTCTATACTCTCTGCAGCAGTTGTGTTTCTGCCAGAGTGCCACATTCAATGGCATGGGAGCTCTTGTCACCTGCATTCCAGTGATAGGCAGGGTTCAAGGCAAAAGAGATGATGACATGTTCCTGCTGAAGGACTTGTTGGAGGAGGAGGAGGAGGAGGACCTAGAGACTTCAGAGAGGGATTCCATTGTACCATGTATGTCACAAGAGGAGGAGAACCCTGGGTCCTTGGTGCAGACGGTTGCAGCAGGTCTGTATCTGCCAGGTGCAGAGTACTCTTCCTCTGTGACGGGCTGGACCCCACAGTCCCTGGAAGCACTGATGCCTAAGGCAGCAGGCAAGCAGGAGTCCTGGGAGGAGGAGTGCCTGCCTACGGATGAGGAGTCCTCATGGGAAATTGGCTGCTTATGAGTCCAGTTGCTGATGAGGCTCAACAGGCCATAAAAGCCTCCTGTGTCTGTCTAGCCAACACTGAAGACACACTACGCTTTGGCTGCCATCTTTCTACCTTGTTTTTTGTATCTTGCCCAGATAATTAATGGTCCGAGCTACTTGACCTTAGGTTCGTACTATACTCCTCCACTGTGCAACGGATCCAGCTGCTTAACCTTGCTTTGACCTTTGCTTGTACTTCGATCTCTCCTGTTTGCTCCATTGCAGTACTGAAATCATAGGGCTTGACTTTTTGACTATTTTGTGATCTTGTTTTTTGGACTGTCTCATAATTCAGAATTTTCCTCAGTTGTTGGGATGAGGAGGGCCAGAAACACCATTATATTTTAGGTTAACACTCGAACTGACAGTAATTAAGCCTTAGGAGAAGCATTTCAGGGGAAAATAGTGCAAAAGCAGGGAAAGAACCTGATGACCAGCAGTTAGAAGAAACTGAATGTGACTATTTAGGAAGCTGCCAGAGAGCTGGACTGGAAGCCCACCGCAAATGGTTGCATGGGGCTGAGGGCCAACATCCCTGTCCTACCTAATTTGCAGCAGTCCTAGCAGAACAACTTCCAGTGATTCCAGCAACACCATTTCAGGATTCCTACCACACTGTTCTGGCAGCACAACATGGACAACAACATTTCAAACAGAGCATTCAACATTTCTTCCCATTCCCATCAATAGTGTGTCAGTGCATCAAAACGAAATGGGAATCAAGGGGCTAGATTTTTGCCAGACTGCAGCAATGACAACAATGCTACCAATGCCCATGTGAGCCCATCAATGCATGTCTGCTTGGGTTCCTCCTCCAGGGCTGTTAACTAGCTGATCAATTATTTTAATGAGCATCATCTTCAAATATGAGTGTGAGCGTGCATGCCCATATAAGGGACCTTTCAACATGGGTTGTAGCTCAGCTTGGCAGACTTTTCTCAACTATACACTGGTGCCTCTTCCAAATGGAATATTGGTCAGTGTTACTGAACACAGAAGAATAAATAAGTATAAACATAATTTACTTTGTGAATTAGCTGGTTGGTAATAAGCACTATATAAACTCTGTGCCTATAAAATCACTTTATATATGAGAAATAAATCTATGCATAAAGCAGAATCTTGGTTTTCAGTTTCCAAGGAATGAGCATTCAGACTCGTGGGGAAGATCTAAATAACTTAACCTCTGCGGCTTTATTGAATTGGTGCCCCAGTTCCTGCAGCAACTAATGACAATGCACTCCTGGGCAGAGACAAACTCAACTACAACTTCACAGCCCATGTACAGATATTTTTATAACCTTCCAGTCACATATGCAGACACAGAATATTAGGTTTCCAGATAATGTTAACACAATAGCATCTTGGTGTCCTCATACACAAAACAATACTCTAAACCGATCAGAAATACTAAGTAACAATAGGATGGAAAATATTACTGATTTAGTTTTATTAACATGTCAGTTTGGTAAATTCCTGACAGTTTGGGTCAGCCTCCATGTCTGCTTAAACAGGAAAATGTGTCTACCTAAGAAATCATTCAGAAAAACTGGTTTGACCGCTATGGGGAACTCGGCGAGTGAGAGCTCCCTTGTTAACATTCAGCTTCTGGACTTCTGACTGGCTGTGCACGGCTCGCGTGGGCCTCCACTTAGCTGGATTCTTACATCAGCCGCCAATCCTTTAGCAGATTATGTGGGCACATTCAGAACCATATGGATACTTTTTGTATCAGCCGCCTGTTAGTTCTTAAACAAATGCATACTTTTGTAACCACTACCAAGAGTAGAGCGGAACCACACAGTATTTTCCTATAGGCTCTTTCTTCTTTTTCTGAATATTCAAGGGAACTGCTTCTAGCAGCTTCTGTACCCACCGACCCAAATGGATGCCGAAAACCCTCTGCGAGGCACGCCCACACACTCACACAGGACACCATCTTTATTTTGGTCAATAAATTTTATTTGGACGTCTGAATTCTCTGACACAAAACACAAATCACACAGTGTACAGTGTTCAAAAGGTGGGAGTGAGCAGCAGAAGGCACTTGCTGAGGAGCAGGAAGACAGGGAGGAGGTTAGCAGTGATGTGATACAATCCATTGTGAAAAAATGGAATGAGTGCCAGGATTTCTCTGAGAAGCACCACCCCAACATAACTGAATGAACAGAATGTTGAAGTTGATGAATGATAACGTGGTCTCTCATTTCTGGAGGGTTATGCAGCGCAGGAAAAAACAAGTGACTATAGACAGATTTTTCTCCAAAATTGACCCTGCAGCTAAGAGACAAGAAGAGAGGAAACCCCTGAAAGAGATCTCCCCAGTGTCCTTATGGAGGGGGACTCTCTCTCAAAACAATAACCTCCCCCCCACACCTAGGTTAGTGTTCTCCACTGTATTGTACAGTACTTTGTTACTTTGTTGTTCTTTGTCACTGTGTTTCAATTTTTTCTGATTAAAAAAAAAATAGTTACAGAATGGATTAACCTTATTTACATTGAACCTTATGGGGAAATTTGACTTGGCTCATGATCAAAAACTGGTTCACAACCACATTCGGAAGGGCCAGAACAGAGTAACCTTATTTACATTGAATCTTATGAGGAAATTTGACTTGGGTCACAACCAGAGTCATGGAACGGATTAAGTTTGTGAGCCAAGGTACCACTGTACTAACATTCAATGCCCTAAATGGCTTGGGGGCAGATTATCTGAAAGATCGCCTCCTCCCATTTGTACCTACCTGGTCCCTGAAGTTATCTTTGAGGGTTCTTCTCCAGGAGCCCATTCCAAAGGAAGGGAGGTGGGTGACTTCCAGGAGAAG